TTCATTTAAGCTGATTTGGACTGCATGTAATTGGCTCATATAGTCCTCTTCTGTGTTCTTGGTAAATGTAGGAGATGGTAAAATTGTTAAGTGTGGGGTATCACCTATTCACCCTTGACAAGGAGTACTCTAGGTATTTGTATACGTAGTATATATTATATCGAATTCATTTTATAATGATTGTTTTTGTTTCTTCATTGGTATTTTAGGTATTTGTATTAATATGTATGATGTATCTGCATTTGAATTTTGATATTTGTATCTATACTACTCTGTACTCAGTATGTTAAATTATTCTTTTAGTAATTATGTTATACTACGTATGTTTCTTCATTGGTATTTATATGTTTCTGCATGAATACATTTCCATTTTTCTACTTTTCTGCATTAATCAACCAACCAAATATATGAAACTGCTTCTTGAAAAAATGCAGGTTGCTTGGTAACTTGGCATGGGCTCACATGCAACTGAAGAACTACAAATCTGCAGCAGAGAATTACAGGTATGATTATAGGATGATAGGAAAATATACCCCGTATTAAGAATTATATTAAATATACTACTCCTTCCATCCCAGTTTGTTATAACTTTTCTAAGTTAAACTTTAGTAACTTTAGCATTATTTTGTCATAACTGTACTATTTGACCTTTATCTTTTGAGTCATTGTTTGAAAAGTTGCATGTGGTTTTCAGACATAGCACACACTTCAGTATGTTTCATGAGCTTTTTGCTTCACAAACTGGTTTTTCTCATTTCAAGTTTGCTTCTAGGTTAGAATCCAATTAACTTTGGTTTTTATGTTGTAAATTAACCAAGCCATGTCCCTTAATCACAAGTCTGGTACCGATGTAAGCCCTAAAATAGATTAATCAAAACGTGTTTTGTTAGACGTCAATATAACTTCAACATATAATTGTACCCATAGTAATCTAATCATGTTTATATTCCAAGAGAGTTCAGGTAAAAACGCCAAATACAGACCTAAGCCTTTTAATCGACTTTAATAGGATTAAACTCCAACTCCAGTTTAGCATGAAAAGTGGTTTGAAATATGAAGTTAGTTAATAGGATTAAACTCCAACTCCAGTTTAGCATGAAAAGTGGTTTGAAATATGGAGTTAGTTGAATTACATTTGCTTCTTAAATTTGTACTTCATTTTCAAGTCAATCTTTTTATATCAATAAAAAAATTTGCGGGCAATGTTTATTTTCTGAATTTCATTTTAGCTGATTTGGACTGCATGTAATTGGCTCATATAGTCCTAAACAGAGTATTTAAGTAATTGCCTTTTCATCACTTGCTATTCTCACATACATATGCTAATTTCTATCAGGTGATCTATTGAAACAATTGTGGCTCATGTATAGGATGATTGAAATGTTCTTTTAATGTGTTTTAGAATGTTTTCTGAATGAAAAATGATGGTCGCGCTGCAGTTAATTAATCAATGATTTCTATAATTATAATGTAGTGTATTTTGATGTTTTCTGATTATTATAATGTAGGTGAACTAATATAATTATTAATAAATAATACTAAAAATATTAAAATTTAGATTTCTTTTATAAGTATAATTTAGGTTTCTATTATCATATTAATAATTAATATGAAAAATAGTAACCCAAAGTCACAAAGATTGCTCCTTAATAATCAGTGTATATTGATTATTGTTTTTTTGTAAATATTATATATAGATTAATTATTAAATGACTCATTTGATTCATTAATAATAATGGCGTGTAACCCTGTTTTTTAGATAAGATTTCCGCATCTATTATAAAACAATCTTAAGTAGTAGAGTCCTAATTCATTATTAATAATAGCCGGTAATCCTATTTTTTAGATAAGATAGGCGCATCTAACTATCACAAAAACGAGCTGTAGTTGTAGAGTCCTAATTCCACTGCACAATTTGCATGGCATCTTATCGATAAAACCCATCTATTAATACTACTCCTCATCGCCATCCTCCTGCGGTCCTGCCACAGCTATTCATATTTTCCTCTTCTTATTTTGCTCATATTTTAACAATTACAAGGTAAGAATTTGTTCTATTAATTTCATTGTTTCGAATTACCTCTATTTTTTTTAAATTTTAGATTTATATTTGTAACAACTATTCTATTTTGTTTCACATTTAAATTCTGATATTTAGCATTAGTAAGCTTACCAGATTATTATTTCACCCTCTCTTATATATTATGTTTGTGATTTTTATACTAATTACTCTTTTTTGAGATTTTATATGAAGGTATTTATTAATTATTTAATGAATAATGATAAAGTGTGGCTAAATTATTTAATTATTGATAATTATTATCTTAATCTAGGTAAAGCAACTGGATTTTGATACGAGATTTATTATAAAAAATTTATTGCAAATAAACAACATGGACTTTTATTATAAAAATCTTATTGTGTCATGACCCTATACGAGATTTATTATAAAAATCTTATTGTGTCATGACCCTATATTTGCATTACTTCCTTTTCTGTTTAATTGCTTATTATCAGTCTATCCTTTCATGCTTATAATTATGATAGGACTTTGACCATCCTACACGCAGTAGAGAAATTAAGATTTACTGACCATTATAACTAGGGTTCCTCTTTATCAATGATAATTATAACTACTAATAGTAGAGAAATTAAGATTTACTGACCATTATAACTAGGGTTCCTCTTTATCAATGATAATTATTTATTTGAATGCTTTATTGTCTAGGTGCTCTTTTATTACTTTGCATGGACTGAATACTATTGGCTCAATTCCAAGTAGCAGATTGCAAGGTACTCTATATGCAGTCACCTTACTTTTCAGTTCCCTTGACGTGTCCTCTTTGTAAATCCGTTGGCCGTTACTTCATATGTCCTTCTACAAATCTGCAACTTTATTTTCAAATCATTTTCGAAGTAAATGATTTCAAAGTGCTTATTTTTCATGTTAGTGACTCTGTTTCACTTTGCAGATTATAATGACATATAAGCTTTTGAAAAGTGGTTTTTAATTCAAAGTGACCCAGTTTTAATAAATGTTCACTGTTTATTTTTTTAATAACCTAAAATAAATATAGCAAGTTTTAATATCTTTGTTTTCCCTTGCTTTTTAATGCTTTTGACTAAGCTTTATATATATATATATAGTATATAAAGCACAGTCATCTTCTTCCAAAGATATTGTATGACTTTTACATTTTTCAATTGATTTTCTAATAAACGGGGGCTTGATCTTTGTTCTTCCAGTAAGATGTTTTAGTCTGTATCAAGCTATTGTAGTTGGGTAAGTTGAGATTACAGTCATACAGTTTATTTGCTAAAATTGTAGACCCCCATCAACTAATTCTTCCTTTGTGCTTCTTTTGATTTGCCCACTGATTTGCCAAATGTCATTTGCTAAAAATTAGTATCCTGTTTGAACTAAATGTTGCATTTAGAAAATATCTTTTATAGTATCTTTTAAGCATGCACATTGTGTCATGACCCTATATTTGCATTACTTCCTTTTCTGTTTAATTGCTTATTATCAGTCTATCCTTTCATGCTTATAATTATGACAAGACTTTGACCATCCTACACGCCATGACTGTTTCACACACGTTAATAATACACCATCACACTTTTTCAATTGGTTGATATACAATTCTGTCTATTAGTTTGTATGCGTACCATACACAAATTTTTTTAAATCATATTACTACTTCTTGCTTAAGGAATGCAGTGCAAACTGTCCAAATTTTAGCTCGCTGAGTTTGCAATTTAATTGTTTTTGCTTTTCACCTTTAACCTTTCTGTGGAAAAGGCTCTACTTCTGCCACCTTACATTATACAATTATTATAACTCTTCCCTCTCTTCAAAGTAATATAAATCTTGGTTTTCATTGTAAAAATCTTATTGCAAATACACTAACTGTTCTTCATTGAGTAAGAGTAAAATTATTAAATTACCAAGCAATTCTGCTTTCCTGGTGAGAGTCACTCGGAAATGGGATGCCCTTATTGGAGAGAAAAGTCGAGCCATCAAATCCATTGAAATGATTTTCATGGATGAAAAGGATACACATTTTTTCCTACTCCATACTTTGATATTAATGATACAACATATATTAGACATTAAGAGATGTACTAAACCAAAAAAGAATAAAATGGTTTAAACCAATATTTTATCTAGGTTTAGACTTTAAATGAATTGAGCATTATTTGGTTCTTATATTAATATTTAATTTTCAATATAATTTTTTACTATCAAGGATACACCATATCATATACATTAGTGTTGTTGATATAGGTAATATAGCATAATTTTTTAAATTCACAATGACATGGTTCAAATCATTATTTTTAAATACAGTGGTGTCCAGTGAACATGTTCTATAGTTTAGCATACTCATTTTCATGTTCTGACAGTGGACTTGATATGTATACCGTTAACAATTATCTTCTCATTTAAACTTGGACGGTAGATTTTTTATAAATCCATCTTTTTTCAAATATGTGCGTGTCATCTTCTCTTTCAAGCTTGAAAGTCATTTTATGAAAACTTTTTTTTTTGTATTTGATAATATCTATTTTATGAAATTTTAAAAAGTAAGCCCTAAGTTGATACAAAATATCGTTCCAGTTTCAACTATTCTATTTAACTCATGTACCTTTCTAAGTTTAATAAAAATGCCCTAGCAGTGATGTTCAAATCTTAATCAAATGTAAAAAAAATAGAACAAATAATGAAATAAACATAATTAACGAATGAAAAGATTCTGATTACTTTGGTTTGTTGATGCTTTTAAAAGGGTACGACAATTCAAGCAACTATTCCCATTCGACTAAGTCATCAATTCAACACTATTGAGGAAGGATTGATTTATGCGGTCAATCACCTAGAAGTCAAAGAGAATGATAAAAAGTATAGGATTACTGCCCATCCATACCGTTTTGAGTTGACGGTGTTCACTAAAATGCAACATCGAGAGCAAAAAAGTTGTCCTAGCTTTGTAACTAGATTTAAATTTGCAAGCTTTGAGGATATTAAGAAGATGCACAATTGTGAATCTCCTTTTTTGATAGGTATGTTTTTGTCTTATATTTTTAATTTCTATATGACAGTTATATACTAAAAATGTAGTTTTTATCGTATTCTTTAGAAGATTGTATGTCTGAAATTAGTTCTACTCCACTTATTGATGATAATGTTAAATCGAATGAACACAGATGTTATTGGCGCGTATGATGTTGGACAAGAGTTCAAAAAGAAAAAGACACAAAGGGATGCTTGGTATAGTGACTTTCATTTGGAAAACTTGGAGTTGAGTTCCTTTCAAAACTCTATTTTATCTGTAATGCATGAATAATTTATCATAATGTTTTACAATTTTGTTACACTTACACTGTAATACTATTATGAAAGGGCCAAACTATCTTATGTACTTTGTATGGAGACCTAGTGCTTGAAGTCGAGAGGTTTTTGGCTACTTCTTTTAGTGGTCCAGTTATATTCATTATCCAAGCATGCCGCACAAATAAAAGATATGGTAAATATGTCTGACCATTACCTTTTCAACTATAAAAAATGTAATAGTGTTTTTTTGTTCGTTAAGTTATACGTTTTTCACCTATAGGTGAAAAGATTGGAGTGGCTTCTTCCTGGGATGCTACCAAGTTAATTTTGAATGAACATATTCCTGACATAGAAGATTTTCGGTGCCGGTAACGATCCTTTTCCTTCTTCATCATAACTAAATTTGTCAAATTTAAATTATGATTTATATTTATATTATGGACAAATTTAGGTTTTTGAATTCAAAGCAAACAATGAAGTCAATTGCAAGCCAAACAACATCATCTTGCGTGACTCTAAGAGAAGATAGCATTGATGTTGGATTTACCATGCCTCTTTTTGATTTAGACACAGCCAAAGAGGTATGATTTTATATTATTTCCTAAATATAAATCAAAATACTCCCTCCGTCTTGAAAAGGATTGCCAAATTGATTTTTTTGGTCAATGACAATCAACTTTGACCAATGATATTTTTTAATACGAATTTTTTTAGAATATGAAAATTATATCAATATATTCCTTATTGAAAATATTTTCATAAAAGTATAAAATTTATAAATTATACATAAATAGAATAACTTAAATCACTGCTCAAAGTTTGCCTGTCAAACGCGTAACATTAAAAAAAATTCAAGCTTTTGAAGAGTGTGACCTAAACTAATCCAAATAAAAGTGCCAGTTTTGCTTTTTCTTACATATGTTATCATTCTTTACTTTATTATTTTTTATTTTAACAAAAATATTAGAAATTCATTTGGCATTTACACGTAAGACACAATTTTTAACCATATATATATATATATATATATATATATATATATATATCATAACTTATAAGTAATTAAGGTCCCATATTTTTACATTCTGATTATTTTTTGGATTTGAGCTCATAAATTCCTTTATATACTATCCGGAAAAATTGAAGGTTTTATTTTGAAAACATCGAAAGCCAAAACCCCCACTTTTTTATTTTATGAAGGGTAGAATTTGTCTAGATGGATATTAACTTTTCAGTGCCGCCAAAACATAATATTTTGCATTCTGAGTTATTAAAATTTACATAGTTTTTCATCAGTGTGAAACCTATACTTCTATATAGCATGTTATATGAAATCATTGATTTTTATTGACGGATAGTTGTTACTATATAGCAATAATTTGTATTTTTTAATATTCAAAGAGAAACAATTATAGTTAGCCGTATTATTTTTCACTTTTTCCAAATAACATCATACAAATAATACATATATAAAACCGATGTATTAATTATACTTTGTATAAAACTTGGGCATTAAATTACTATCCCACCTTTTCGTTGTAAAAGAAGAGGAGTCAATGTATGGTACATTTGTAATACTCCATATAAAGAGTAATGCTTTTAAGATTTATATAAGGGTGCCAGTATTGATGACTATTTAAAATATTAAATTTGCTAATCAGTATTCAAATGAAAAACTGAACATGCGGTAATTATCTATTAAGAAGTTTAGGTCATTAAAAGTATTATTCATATCAATATATATGAAGACATTGAAAGAAACTTGAGAATTAAAATCAAAGTACGGAGTAAACTAAGGTAAAAATCATATTGAAGAAGAGTAAGAAATTTATATACGGATTAGAATACTCATATGACAGATTTAAAAGGTTAAGTTTTCTAAACCTGAAATTGAGATTTGGAAGTAATATTTTTTCTGCGGCATACTGTAGAAACGGTGAGTATTTGGAGTCGGTCAATTGGCAATCATACGTCTGTTTGCTGCTTATTTATAACTGTATTACTCATCGTGCCATACATATTTCCTGCACATATATATTAGAAGAGTTTTAGGATGTTTTTACTTGGACTGTAATTCCTCCCAGACCAGATCAGACCAGACCAAACTTGGATAGTTATAAAAATACAAAGAAACCAGACCAGTTCAGACCAGACCAACAAATTACAATCCAAGTAAAAACATCCTTATAGTTGCTGCCATCATTAGAAGTGTTTAGAAATAGTAGAACATAAGAGTCTTTCAAATAGTGCATTCAAATGCTTCAATAATTCTTCTAAGACATATGTATTACGTATTGATGTTCATATCATATTTATTAAAATTTCAGTATAAAAGAAACAAATGACTTATATGATTTGTATAGTTACCATGTAATTCAATGACACAATAAACATCAAGTAACATAATGCATATAATAACTCTCAAGCTTTTAGCAGGTCATAATTGGTTTTTAAAGGTTCTCATATATCCAAGAAGTAAAAATAGAACACTTAAAACCACTAATGTGATTTTAGATATTAAAGATGTAAACAGGGATAAACTTTGAAGTACGAGGTAATAGCAATATAAACTATAGAACTGAATTCTCCGGTACTTATAGTCCAAAAATGAGTAAACTAAGGTAAAAATCATATTGAAGAAGAGTAACAAATTTATATACGGATTAGAATACTCATATGACAGATTAAAAAGATCAAGTTTTCTAAACCTGGAATTGAGGTTCGGAAGTAACATTTGTCCTGCGGCATAATGTAGAAACGGTGAGTATTTGGAGTCGGTCAAATGGCAATCGAATCTGTTTTCTCAGTAATGATCAGTAATGAATCTGTTCCTCATGAGAAATCTGTACATAATCTATTTCTTTGTATAACATAAAATCATAAAAACATTAGTGAATAAGTTTCTATGTTTTGATGAAAAATTAAATAACGAGTTGATGCTTATCTAAATTTATAGTAGTGAAACAAGGAACTCACAATCAAAGTTGATGCTATCTGAATTCGTAAAACTATGCTTTTGTTCTGATATGCATGCCAATAGAAGTTACATGTTGTTATTGTTTAAGTGAACAATTGTTTACAGATTGTTATATGTTATATGTGTGGTAACAAATGTAGTTCTAAACAATTAGTTTGCTATTCTGGTTTCTTACAAATAAGCATTGAAAATGCATTAAAATCTGAGCACTTGAGAATGAATTTGATTAAAAAAACAATTCTATGTAGATAGATCTTCCTAATATAAAATTATAATAATCAGTATTGTAGTTAACTATTGCTTTGGTATACAGGTTAAGGGTTGCTGGTTCTACGCTCAAATTTGCTCGATTCTTTCATTAAAGAATTGGGCTTACTTGGGATGTGGTAATAAAACATGCTTTAAAAAGCTTAAGTATGAGGGAGCATCTCTTTACTGCAACAATTGTCGAGATGTCAAACAGACAGGTATTTGGTGGTACATGTTAAAATTAATGGTGAAGCATGGTAAGCATTTTGTTGAGGTAGTTATGTGGGACGATGTATCAAGTAAGCTAATTGGCAAACCAGCAAATGATCTCAGTGACAGCCTTAGCTTGGTAAAGTATTCAATTTATATTATATGTTATACGTAGTATTTTATATCTAAAATTAACAATTTGGGAATTAGCATTGTGATTTTAGTATAAAATTCACTTCTCTTCTTTTACGCAGGAGACTTTATCGCCTTGTGATGTTCATAATGATGTCTTGGATTTAATTGGCCGGGAATTAATATTCAAGGTTGGGAATCGCAAAGTGAATACCCTTACAAATCAGAAGGAGTATACAATAGCTGCGTTTTCTGAAAACACAGAAAAAATTAAAGAGCTGAAGGAGGCTGTTCAAGAAGAAGTTGTTGAGGTATTAATATTATTTATCTTCATAAAATTAATTAAAAGATTATGAAAATAGAATAAAGATGATTTTTGCCGGCACAGTAAATTTTTACCTTTTAAATAACCACATTTCAAAATAGACCTCTTGAAATTAGTTTCTACAAATGTGCGAACACTCGAACATTAACATACACTTGTGTACATACTTTGTTAAGATGTTGTTATACTACTTTTGTACTTAACTGTTAAACTAATAAAGTAACTTCACACAAAAAGAGGAATTTGGCTTTTAAACATGTGGTATTTATGTGATAAAAACACTCAAGCACTAACACTTGGTTATTATCTTTGATTTGTAATAGGTATATAACTCAGATTCTGATCTTGATTTGATGTGTGATGATTACACAAATGTCGAATCAAATATGGTAAAATATTTACAATGTTATTTTAAATAGAATATTATACATGTGAATTTAATGAAAATGGACTGATCCAGTTGTTTTATTTTTCAGACGCCGTGCTCACAAGAAATTGAATCTCATCGTACTCCTGAGTCGGTTTTGTCCAAGAGACATGCTACTGATGAAAATGAATCTGATGGAATGGAACAAAGCTCAGTCAACAAGAAGTTCAAGGGGGTTAAGATTGAGATTTGACTCGACGTGCATTAATTTATTTTCTGCTTTGATAAAATTGGGTACTTGGGAATAATGATGTTGCATGATTTAAATTTTATTTTGGATTGAATAAGAAAGACAATTTATCATTTCAGTATAAATTTCATAAATACTTCGTTATGGAGTTTTTTCCATTTCTCTTTTTTTGTACGTCCAATGCACAGTGTTATCCAGGATAACTTATCCCTGTTTACTTTTTTAATTAATATCTAAAATCACATGAGTGTTTGAATTGTTTTATTTTTGACCTGCTATGGATATATCAGAACCCTTATAAACCGATTAAAACCAATTATGACCTGCTAAAACCTTGAGAGTTATTATATGCATTATGTTACTTGATGTTTATTGTGTCATTGAATTACATTGTAAGTTTGTAACTATACAAATCATACAAGTCATTTGTTTCTTTTATATTGAATTTTTTATAAAATATGATATGAACATCATACGATAGTATGTAATATGTATGTCTTGAAGAATTCTTGAAGCATTTGAATGCACTATTTGAAAGACTCTTATGTTCTACTACTTCGAAACACTTCTAATGATGGCAGCAACCATAAAGCTTCTCTAATATACGTACTATCCTTCCAACGTACCGTCTGGTCGAGGTTGGGGGGCCCTCAGAGATGTGGTGTCATCCTTTTTTTCTAATATAAGTAGTATATGACAAGGAACTCAAACATGGTATATTCCATCAATTGTGTACTTTTTACGGTAGTTGAGAAAAGATTCTAATAATATGTACTACTTCCCGTCACAATTTGATAGTTCTATTTAATATTCATCACACTTTTTTATTTGGATTGTTTTCAGTCCTATAACAAATCAAACCAAATCAAATGATTTTGAAAAAGATCAAATCAAATCGGATTTGATCAAAACAGATATTTTTTAGTCCAAGTAAAAACATATTCACATGGTCAACATAAATCATTATTAATCTTTTATTTTCGTTTATAAATATGTAAATTTTATTTATTACAAATATTTTGAGCGGTGACAACGATCAGCAGGATCGACCCTATATGTTTGAGAAATAAAATGTGCCTGCATTTTGAAAAATTGAAAAACTTTTTTGGTCTAAACTAACATGCATAGTAATAATAACCGTTCAGAAAAACCCTTTAAACATTTAAATAAACTATTAAACTTTCTTCTATCTAAATAAGTTATATTGTACCAAAGATTCACTATATTTTGGCTTGAGAATATGATGAAATTTTATGAGAACCTTCCACATTAAGTGTAGATTATATCAACAAAATTTCATCTTGAAATTAAATCAGGAATTCAGTTAAATAAATTATGGAAAATGACTGCGTTTTTCGTGTACATTCTGGAGCTGTTGTTTTTAAAAATTTATTCAACTGCCTTCCTTATTGAATTTTGAGCTGAAATTTAGTGGTAATAAACTAGACTTGATGAGGTGAATGCTCACAATATTTCATTAAAAAATATCACCGGGAAGTACCTGTGATAGGAATGTTCGAACGGGGTTTAACGTCACAACTACCTGAGATGATCATTACTCATTTATATATATATATATATATATATATATATATATATATATATATGTGTGTGTGTGTGTGTGTGTGTGTGTGTGTCTATATATATATATATGTGTGTGTGTGTGTGTGTGTGTGTGTTTGAAAAAGATCACCATACATAATATTTTTTGAATATATAAATGTTAGTAGTTTATTCCCTTATTAAAATTATTTATTACAAAATATTTATTTAGATAATATGAATGATAACTTCTACTACGTTACTATGTACAACAACATATTTTACTATGGGAGTACTGTTTACTATGTTAGATATGCCTTTTGGGTGTTTTTTAATAATAGTATAAAAAATATACTAAGAGTGAACTTATTAAATTTACTAAATTGACAGAAAAAATCTAAAAAGGTTAACAAATAAAGGTCTATCAATTAATACAAATAATAGCACTTTTACTATTACTTAATTTTTACTAGACATTTTCACTTAAGTAAATACAAAAAACCTATGCATCTTTTCATGTTGAGTGATGAATTTAATAAAATATACAATATTTAAATACTGAATTAGTAAACATGTTTTCTTTATGTGCATGTTAATTAAAGTAAAAAGCATTGCATGTGTAATTTGGTTGTGCTGAAATGTATATATTGTGGAATATTTTATATATTAGTTCAATCTTAATTAACGTACTAAAATATTTAAATGCACTACTGCAGATTTTGAACTGGATCAAGATAAAATTGAAAAGTACTGTTTGTTGGAGATTCAGAAGCTCTTGCAGTCAAGAGGTAGATTACTGCGTGATTTTGCTGGCATACCCTTGCTACCTGATGATGAAATGCCCTCGCTTGAAGAACTTCAAATTCATGAAGAGCTGCGGTACAATAAATCGTATCTGATTGAGGAGCATGCAAAGTTGTTGGCCGAGATGACAGATGAACAACGTGTTGTGTATGACAGGATAATGGAATCTGTAGATAGTAGAAACGGGAAATTCTACTTTTTATATGGCCACGGAGGAACTGGAAAAACATATCTATGGAGGACTTTGTCTGCGGCTGTGAGATCTCGCGGTGATATAGTTCTTAACGTGGCTTCAAGTGGTATAGCATCGCTTCTCTTGCCTGGAGGAAGGACCACACATTCGAGATTTGTGATTGCACTTAGTGTTGTAGAAGACTCCACGTGCAACATAAAACATGGTAGTCCGTTGGCTAAGCTGATAGAGTTATCTAAGTTGATTATATGGGGTCAGGCACCGATGATGCACCGACATTGTTTCGAAGCTCTTGACCAGAGTATGAGAGACGTGCTTCGTTACTCCAGCCACTGTGACGCTACCTTGCCTTTTGGTGGGAAGATGATTGTATTTGGTGGTGACTTTAGGCAAATTCTTCCTGTGATACCAAAAGGCACGAGACAAGACATTGTGCGCGCCGCACTTAACAGTTCATTCATGTGGTCACATTGTACTGTAGTGAGGCTTACTAAAAACATGAGGCTCACAAGGATGCTCGGCCAGCCTGATGGACCAACTATCCAATCTTTTGCGGAGTGGATTTTGAAGATTGGTGACGGAGCTTTTGCTGAAAATCAAGATGGTGAATCACTCATTGATATACCAGACGATATGATGGCTCCAATGACGTCTGATCCTGTTGAATCTATAGTTCAAGCTATTTATCCTGATTTCTTAACCCAGGGTGATCCTATTAATTATCTTTATTCCAGGGCTATTCTTGCTCCAACCATAGATGAGGTTGATAAGGTCAACGATTACATGTTGAGCCAGATAGATTCAGAGTTAAAGACGTACCTAAGCTCAGATTGAGCTTCTTCATCTGACTCAGATAGTAATGATCTCTTGCATGAGATACATTCTCCTGAATTTCTTAATAGCATCAAATGTTCTGGCTTGCCGAGTCATGAGCTGAAGTTGAAAGTTGGAGTTCCTGTGATGCATATGAGGAATATAGATCATTCATCTGGATTGTGCAATGGCACACGGCTTCTGGTCACTAAACTTGGAGCTCATATTATTGAGGCTCAGATGATGCACGGAGAAAATGCCGGCGAAAAGTTTCTTATTCCCCGCCTTACTTTGACACCATCGGACATTAGTCTCCCATTCACTTTTCAGCGTAGACAATTTCCGTTAATGGTTAGCTATGCAATGACCATTAATAAGAGCCAGAGACAGTCATTGGAAAAGGTTGGCATCTTCCTCCGTCGTCCTGTTTTTACGCATGGACAGTTGTATGTGGCGGTCTCGAGAGTAACAAGTCCGTCTGGATTAAAGTTTGTTATATGTGACGATGAAGGGAAACCAACGAAGTCGGCGTTGAATGTTGTATACAAAGAAGTTTATACTAATTTATAGTTCCCTTGCTTCATGCATACATCCATACTCATTGCTACATATATCGCATCATGATTTGTACTTAACTTTGAGCATTGTTTTTTAATTTCGTATTAAATATGAATATTTATTTTATTTTATGCTTTAATTTGATTAATTTGTTTTAGTTTTTAATTTTATGTTTTGAGTTAGGTTGATTTATTATGAAATTCTTTGAGTTTATGTATGTTTGATCCAAACATCTTCACTCCCGTGCGTAGCACGGGTGGAATTACTAGTGTTCATTGAGCACCAAACCTCATTTATTGAGATGAAAATCAAGCTTTCTGTTAAATGAGTATACCATTATTACCAAATGGGCATGCATAACTTACGAAATGAGTATAAAAAAATTTAAAAAAGCATTTTTGTGTGCTCATTCAATTTGGACGTTATACTCATTTGAATTTAACATAAAACTCATTTCTATTGTGCTCAATATGTGTTCAAATTTCATTTGTGTATTGATATGACATATGAATACACGAATTTTCATTTGGCTCTTTTGATCGATCTTTCTTCCTAAATCTTATTTCTCCTAGCTCGGATTTTCCTCCTCTTTCTTTTCCACCGATTGGATTTGGAAGATTTGGGTTTTTAAGATGGAAAACGACGGATTTCTGAAGATTTGTGCGCAGCAATTTACTATTCACAGTTTTGATTTTATGGTCTTTAATCCAAAATTTGACGGTTGTTGTTGGAATCAAAGAGTGCTGTGGGGGTCGCCACCTCTAGGCGCACCTCCCCAGCCCTTTTCCGGTGGCCGGAGGTGCTGTTTGGCCGGAGTTAGCAAAGAGCAGTTGTGCCCACCACTGTTCAGAGCAGTCTGGTTTTTTGTTCGTATCTCCCAAACGACATGTTTAAATCAAATTCTGAGAGTTGTTCTGGACTCGTCTTGCTGAGGCGAAGCTTTTGACACCGGTTTCGTCCAATTTGAGTAAGTTTTTCGTTTTCCCCAATTTGAAGCCATCCTTCGAGCGGAGAACAAGGCAGACACGCTAGCGGACTCTAACTCCATGAAAGAAGCAACGGAAGCTTGAATCATCGGACAGAGAAGTTGATAATAATTTCAAAAATACTCGGATGTACGGTGAGGACCGTACATCCGCGTGTACGGTATAATTTGACATCAAAATTAGTGATGAGGTGAGGGAGGTAACAAAAATGTGCCAAGAACTCAAGCGTTGGCCGGAAAAGTAATTGATTCTTAACGTAACGCCTTTGAAGACACTTCCATATATCCACTAATTAATTGGACGTGAAGCTATAGCCGCCGGCTGGAACACGTACGTACTCATGGCCCTTGAAGCTTGGAATATTCGTTTCCAACCCTCTTTCTATTATACTGTATTCCTCTACGCCGGTTACTTATACCAACTATTCTCGCTTAATTGCCCGATTAATTAATAATAAAAATCTAAATTCTCCGATGTCGGTGCTTGCATGGTTCGCCGTAGTCTTTTTTACGGCGATCAACTCCCACGGGCTCAATGTCAACCAACTTCCATCCGCACGACGCTCTTTGCTGTCTTCCACCAAGTAATAATTAATTAAGCTGGAGTATTTCATATTTTCAATTTCTCACTTTTTTTAAAAAAAATACATTAGTTATTGATGTGCTTTGGAAATATGAATTGATGATTGAAGCGCTTTAGAAATTTGTACCATACATCTTTACTTTATTTCTATTACATATTGAGATTCAAAGTGTTGCATGCAATGAATAAAAGTTGCATATTCGAATTCAAAGAGTTGCATTCAGATTTTTTTATTATCAAAATGCCACCATGTGATTCCAACCTTTAGATCAACTCATCGGATGACCAAAATGAATTTGTAATTTGTAAATTATGAGGTGTTTGATTTTGATCTCTTATCTATCAATATGTATCTGGTTAGGATGTTTTCTTTTGGATTGTTTTCAATCCCAGACCAGACCATATCAGACCAGACTTAAACAGAACAGATAAGACCAAACTTAAATAGACCATACCAGACTTCCATAGTTATAAAATACATTGAGACCAGATATTTACCAGACTACACCATTTCACAACAGACAATTACTAATGATGATCATTGTTAATCGTCAAAGTTGTGTATTCACTAGTTTCACTTTATTAAAAAAATAATGAATAAAATAAAGAAAAATATATATGAGAAAAAGGTAAAATTGTCCTCTACAGAAACATAATCTAATTTAGCTAGAAAAGTATCTTCAACCTTATTTTTTTTTATTACATACTCCCCCCGTCCCTTAAAACTTTGACAACTTTCCTTTTTTGGATGTCCCATTAACTTTGCCACTTTCCCTTTTAAGTAAAGAATTTGTGGTTCCAGTTAATTATCTCTCCTCTGCACAAACCTCAACCACACAATTTTTACTTTATTAATTCCCGTGCCGGTCAAACTTGGCAAAGTTTTAAGGGACGGAGATAGTAATTCAGTGTGTCAAATTAAAAGTTAAGTGTTTACTGAAAAAGTTGATTGATATGATAAATAAGTTACTGAAAAATGGAGTCACGTGCTCTTAAATGACAAAGGGAGTGAATTGTCATTTAATTGACGTGCAACGTAACTGTGTAATTAAGGACATTATAATCAAATAATCAATTAGTTATTCCGTCTCAATTGATTTACAATTTGCCATTAAGGTTACTATCAATAAAATTAAATCATAGTAGACAGTTAAATAAGTTTTACGGAGTATTAATTAAAATTTGTATATTCAAAAACTACAATGAAACTTGTACAAAGTCGCAAAATCTAAATTAAAATATAACAAAAATTGATATGCTAAATAAGTAAATAAAATGATTTTGTATTGAACGAGAAAAGCGGGCTTCGCAAATTAGTGTGGGGGTACTATCCAATTTTATAGAAACATAATGATGGTACCATGGATCGCAACCATGACCCAAGAATAAACTAAATGAAACTCATTACTCGGGAACAACGATTCAAGCCCATTAGTCGCGATTAATAATTAATAATAACCGCTGGGCCTAACCAGGAACTCGACCCGCAAAAGGAACACACAACCAGGCCGGTCTGGACAGCAGACCTCGAGCCTGTGCCAGATTCCAACATGGCTAGATTCATCCTAGGGCTTATGTGGCAGGCTATCAGTCAAGCATAGCTATTTGACAGTGGCAGGAAACTAACGGAAGAGACGTTACAAGACTCCTATCATAACTAAATGTATTAAATGTATCGGTTTTCTCTCCTAGACGTCTGTAACCTTGAGTCTATAAATACTTCATGTACATACCCTAAAAGGGATCTGCATCTGGAATAATAATAATGCCTTACGTTGCCTAAAAATCCCTACTTTTCGTAGATTAGCTCTCGTAGTTGGAATTAAACTCCATCATCCGGTGCTCTCGTTGAGAGCCGATTTACGATGAAAACGATAGTTGGATCACATAGTCACAACCGTGTTGACTGTAACCAAGACGATGCTAGAATGAACCAAGTTGTGGTCGAGGATGAAGGTTCTCGTTCGTGACGAAGCGATTCCCGGAGGAGGAATGACAATTCTTAACCCAGGCAATCTGAGGAATCATATCCCCGGTGTTGGAAGTTCCAGGCATCCAACAACACGTCCATCACAGTTCTGAACGCCGGCCACCGGGATTCACGTTCAAGGCGTGGACCTTGCACAAGCGTTGGCTAGCCTGGTGACTTTTCAAAGAGCTATGGAAACCCTGACCACAGCCTTCCAGGGAATCGTTCCCAATACTAATGAGAGGCTACCTTCTCCCCGTCGTGCGCCATCGGTGCCTCATCGGGAGGACGAGGAGACGGTGTCTACGCACCATTAGAGGAATTCATCTCGAGTAAGGTCTCAGAGGTCCCATCACTCCAGACAGACCCCAAAGGCATCGGTGATGGATCATATTGAGGAACGAAGGGCTTTCATGCATGACAGACTCTCCTCGAAGGTAGAGAGAGGAGAAGAAGCCTCATCAGCAACTGTTTCCCCCCACCATCGCAATGCGCGTGGGGAGATCTTATGCATGAGGTTCTTGGACATCGGCGGGCACATAGAGTTTTCCCCACTAACACATCTAGTAAGGTCAGTTCTGGATTAAGCAGCGAAGCAGGGATTGGTAACATTGCCCGATAATATAAGATTTAGGTTATTTTTGAAATAAAAAATTAAAACTGAAAAGGTGAAAGTATTTACATGTAAAGTAAATAAGTAAGAGATATAAATGAAATGCATATAGCTAAAGTGCACCTAACGGGATATTTCCACTTTATTTTATAGAGAAGAGTAAAAAAAACATAGGAGTAAAATGCTTGGCCCGACAAAATCTCAAGCTGACACTCTCTTCAGTAAGAAGAGACCAGAAGATGGCCAGGAGCTGCTACGTGAAGGCTTGTAAGGCCCACAGAAGGAACAATGTTAGAATAAACATCATCGAGCAAGACTTGTCGAAATATGAGGAAGGGTAGTTTAGAGCCCAGCCTGTCTCAGAGCTCGAGGAGGTCGGCGTCGATCCGTCTAGGCCGGAGCGCCGAATCAAGATCGGAGCAGGATTGTCGATCGACCTGAGCGCATTATAACCACATTAAATGCAAAGGGGCGCCATAAGTTAGAAAAGGAAAATTCAAATTCGAAAAGCTTGTTACTCTCCTAAAATTAAGCCCAGGTAAATTTTAGAGAGTAGGGGGCTCGTGATGGTACCATGGATCGCAACCATGACCCAAGAATGAATTAAATGAAGCTCATTACACCGGAAGAGCGAATCAAGCCCATTAATCGGGATGAATAATTAATAATAGCCGCTGGGCCTAACAGGGACCTCGACCCGTGAAAGGAACCCACAACTAGGCCAGGTCTAGACAACATTCCTGAGCTTGGGCGGGATTGTAGCGAGGTTGGACTAATACTAGGGCTTACGTGACAACTATCTATTGAGCATAGCTATCGGGCAACGGTAGGAAACTAACGGAAGAGACGTGGACCCGAGGGAGTAATGATTGTGAAATAATTGGAATGTTACAATAGTCCTATCATAACTAAATGTATCAAATGTATCGGTTTTCTCTCCTCACGCTACTGTAGCTCTGGTCTATAAATACTTCTTGTACTTACCCTAAAAGGAATCCGCCTCTGGAATAATAATACTGCCTTGCGCTGCTTAAATTTCAATACTTTTCGTAGATGATCACTCGTAGTTGGAATTAAACTCCATCATCCGTAAAAATTACTACCTCGATCTCAAAATGATTAGCCAAATCCAAAACTTTGACCAATAATATATATTTATTGGAAATTATTTACTCCCTCCGTCCCTTATAACTTTGCCAACTTTCCTTTTTCGGTTGTCCCAAAAACTTTGCCACTTTCCCTTTTAATCAATCAATTTGTGGCTCCAGTTATTTCTCTCTCCTCTTCACAAATCTCTACCGCACAGTTTTTACTTTATTATTCTACGTGCCGGTCAAACTTGACAATCCTTTTAGGGACGGAGGGAGTATAATATAAAAATTGTATGAAAATGTTATTTGTTAAAAGTATTTTCATAAAAGTATAAAATTTATAACTTTCATCATATTATATTATTCAAAACCACGGTCCAAATTTTGAGATTTGGCTAATCATTTTGGGACTGATGTAGTATTATTTTAAAACACTTGAAGGTTGTTTGATGACCCTATTTTCGATTTATCAGGCTTATCGACCATTTTTTTCTCTAAACATGTAACTTTTGATTTTGCGCCCTGAATTATATAATAATAAGAAAAGGTAAGATTGAAGTTACTTTTCTGCCCGTGTTGGTTAACGATACTGTAGAGAATCATTTTAGCTATTCTTCATATAATTTTTTGTTTATTTTATTAATAAAATATATTTGAAGTATAACTTTTTTCATAAATCAACGGAATCTGTTAATCCAACCACTTCAGTCAAAACTTCATAAATTTCGTTAGAATCAACCAATACAGCCGATTTTCAAATGGGCTCTCAATTTAGCTTTTCCACCCAAGAAGGACAAACTTTCAAAGCTTATGCAAACACCCCATGAGAGATTAAACCATGTACGCCCTATTAAAAGTGGAAAAGAGGATGTAGGAGGTTAAAGTAGAAGTGGGTCAAGCGGAGTGGAAAAGGAAAAAAGAAAGAAAAAAAGACATCCGTATGTTTTCTTTTGATGTGGACATCTTTATTTGTTCTCCAAATTTTTCAAAAAATATATCAAAATTCAAATTCTTTTATGATTTTTCATATGACATCAATTTTACATATAAAAACATATTTTTTATTGAAACACAAATTTGAAATCCGTGAAACCTCCAAAAATAACCGAATATTACATGAACTTATATTTTTTATTAAAACTAAAAAATGTTAAAAAAAATATTGAAATTAATTTATTTTATATCGAAATGTGGTTTTTTTATTTCATAATTATTTAGGGAAAAAATTAAAAGAAAAACATTAATTATAATAAATTAATTAATGTATTACTAAATTGATATGTAAAAAGATATACAAAATGTATTTTATTGACAGTGCTGAAATGAAGAGAAAAATAACATTGTAAGATTTTACACTATTTTTTATATGGATTTTACCTACAGGTCTACCACTACAACACAAATATTAAAGGTACCCCAAAATGTACCTCAGTTTTACCCGAATCCTTTAATGTGTAGTCATAAATTAGGCAATTCATTTACGTGGGACACCACTTAAATGAATTGACCCATTTGTTGTTCCAAAAAAAGGTGGAATCTCCCACCGCAGAATGACAATAGGCCCATGCACCGGTGCGCACCAGAGGCTCAACCTTATTTCAGGTTCTGTGACCTCTACCCGGTCACTGCGGGGATTCGAACCTTGGTTCATTGTTCCAAATTTCCCACCACTCGACCAACTGAACTACCCGTGCGGATATGAATTGGCCCATTTGTAATCATACATTAGGGGTTGGGGTAAATTTGGTTACATTTTGGGGTAGCTCCGGTAAACTCACCGCTACAGATGGTCTAACTTGATATGAAAACTTTTCTGTCGCTAGGAAATCCGAAACTGCGCTAGTTGCTGCCCTGGATGGAACAATTCATCTGTTTGACCTGAGCACCAAAAGGCCACTCTGGTCATTTACATCTGGTCCGCCAATTTATTGTGCATATCAGGCTCATGATGACAAGGAAAGTACATCTGGCATAGGCAATGGTTATTTTATTGATACTGGAACCGGGGATGACTGGGAACTATATGCACACAACGGTCTGGGAAAATTGGTATCGTCTTCTATGGATCTCTCCAAATATTATAATCCATGCGTCCATGAAAATCTTCTCAATATAGGAGTAAATTTAAACATAATCGCATAAATAAGAGTAAAACTTAAAACTTCCTTCAATAGAAGTACATTAATTTTGTACCCTTAATATCAATAACCTAGTTAATTCTAAAATATGACTTATTTAATCATAACCTAGTTAATTTATGACTTATTCGATAATAATAATTTATTTTTTTTTTTTCAAAAAATAAAAAAAAAATATTTTTTTAAAAAATAAAAAACTCAACAAAATAAAATAAAATTCACCACCGCCTTTGCCGCCTCAGCACCACCACCTCCAGTCACCAGGGTAAAAAAATGCCAAGTTCATTACGAATGCCATATTTATGGCAGAAAACAATGAAACTGTTGGCATTCGCAAAGAGAAATATGTCATATTTTTGGCATTTTCAGAAAAAATACAGTTTTTAGGAAAAATGGAATTTTTTCACCGCCCGAAGGTGGTGGTGCAGGGAGGTAGTACAAGCGGTGGGAAAGGCATCCATATTTTTTTAATTTTTTTATGGAGTTTTACTATTTTTTATTAATTTTTTTTAAAATAAAAAATAAATTTGTTTTTTTAATTTTATTAATATTTTATAAAAATTTTAATTATTTTTCTACGATTTTTTGAATTTTTTCCGAATTTATTATGAATTAAACATTTCATTAAAAGTTGTTTGAGCTTGGGTAGGGGTATACTTGTCCAAACACTAAAGTTACTCCTATTCAAAAATGGTACTCCTATTTTTGCATTTTGCTTATGTTTTGCTCCTATTTGGGGAATTCTCTCTTTTTTTGTCGTTCCAAAAAATTCTTCTCACTTACCATTTTTGGACAATTTGTGTGATTCACATTTATTTCACATTTTTCTTACACAACCACAATCATACATTTCAACTTTATTCTACTTTCTTAATATGCGTGCCAAGTCAAACCGGGAAGGATTTTCAGTGACGGAGGGAGTATTTATTTTTTCTTTTTTCGTTCGTTCCAATATAATTTCTTCTTTTTCATTTTGCCAAAGAATAAGTTTTATACGGAGTAGTATTTGTTCTCACTTTCATTCTTTTCTGCACAACTATAAACCATATATTTCCCAATTTCTTAATCTGTGTGCTAGGTTTGACTAGAAGTTGATATTGGGACGGAAGGAGTATTTCTTAAAATAAAATTCACTAAATCCGTTAAATCTATTAGTACATTTGTCCCATAGTGGTTGTCTGATTTCAATTCGACATGATTATTAACAAAGTGATTGAAAATTAAAAGTTGTTAAGATTTGAGTAGAATGAAGTGAAGTGATATGGACCGCAAATTTCATACAAAAAAGGAAACATGACATCCATTTTGGTACAACCCAAAAAAGAAAGTAAAACAATCAAAATGTGACGAAGAGAGTAAAATTTACGAAATTCTCATCAAAGTATTTGCATTAGCTTAATCTGGTGAATTATGAAATTTTTTTATTTAAATATATTCTATTAAAAAATTAAGAAAAAAGTCACATGAAAATAGATAAAACAATGATCTATATTAACTTCAAACAATTCAATCAAAAACAACAACTTCAACGCGCAAAGTTAAATATACAGAGTACGTGTTTGCTAAAAAAGGGTTGGTAAAGACAATATCGAGAATAGGAGTTACCAAATCGGCTCTTAAAGGCTTAAACCATCAAATCATTGACTACACACTATGGCTATCAGCATCTCTGCACCGTCTAAGAACTTAAATGTAGATTGTGTCAATATATAAAGAGTATATACACTCCGTTGATACTAGGGATGGACCCGGGCCGGTCCGGTTCCGGTTCCGGGACGGGCCCGGACGGGTTTTTTTTTGTAGAAACATGGGCCCGGAACCGGCCCGGGGTGATACCGGGTCCGGTCCGGATCGGGCCTATCCGGCCGGGTAGTGGGCCGGTTCGGGCCGGGTCCAGGCTATTTAATTTTTTTAAAATATTAAATCAAGATTAGTTGGACATAAAAAATTTAAAATATATTTATTTGAAATATGTAGTACAATTGGAAATTGAGCAAAAATTAAAATATGAAATACACTCTTTAATAAATAAGAATCAATCGGAATTTCCGCCATCTTTGGTTGTTTCTTCCATAAAGTGGCGGATGGGTTCAATGCTAATTTCTTGAGTTCTACGTTTGGCCTTCAACCAATCGTGGAAGCAAACAAGCGTCTCAAGAGAGTTTGCGCTCAATCTCGTTCTATAATCTGTTAGGACGTTGCCGGCCGCACTAAACTCTTGTTCCACAGCAACTGTTGATACCGACATTGCTAGCACTTGCTTAGCCATCTTTGATAAGATCGGGAACGTTCTCTCTTTTTCCTTCCACCACTGAAAAACGTCAAAGTCATCCCCTTCTTCATACTCACCAGGAAATGTTAGATACAAAGAAAGCTCGTTGATCGAGCTTTGTTCATTAACCGGAGTTCATTTACTTTTTTCATAAGATTGCCAAATGCAAATTTCAAAATTGATTTTCCTTTAGATGAAGAAGATGTTCGTGGCAGAGAGGGGTGCGTTACCATATTGTGCACGAAACTCATTAAATAATTGATATAATAAATTACTAACCTCTTGAAATTGTTGTTTCGGGTCTATAGCCTTCTCGTCGTACATAGGCAATGGATCAAAAAAAGAAGCATAATAGTAATCTAAACATTGCTCCAAAGAAGCAAGTCTAAAACGAGGATCAAGAATAAATGCAATACTATATATATGCGGAATATAGGAATAATATTTTAAAAACTTTTGTTTCATGAAGTCACAAAAATAACTAACGTAAGCGGCATCAGCAAATTCACAAAAAGCGCCGGCGAGATTAACAGCTTCAACAAAAAATTGGTTTGCGGTAGGTTTATAAACATGACTAAAAGTTTGAGTTGCATTATTAAAATACACCAAAACATTCAAAACTTTTTCACAAGTGTCGATGTCGGTCGAGTTTATAATATAGTTAGCATATTCTTTTTTAATTGTTTTGCGACTATAGTTTCGAAATTGGGGATTTAAAGAACCTTGAGCATATTCTTTTAAAGCAAGACTTTCAGAAAAAATAAAAGACAAATTTTCTTCAACAATTAAATGAGACATACCAGTCAAATGTCTTTGATCATCATAGGAGAAATTACCAAAGGTTTGGCCAGTTGCAAACCTTGAAAGTTGTGTTTGCCTTCCCTTGCCTTTGTCCGATTTCGCGTATTCCGCCGGGTGCTTGGCTTTAAGATGCCTTATGGCGCTCCCGTACCCTCCAGAAATTCCCAAGTTATACTTTTCGTTGCAATGCTTGCAAGTGGCATACCATATCTCGGTTTCGAGGTCTTTAACTTTTGTAAAATTTGTCTTAAAGACACATTCAGATTTCCCATCGGCTTGGAAAGAAGTAGCCACTTCCGCTTCCTCTTCAATTCCTCATCGTCCGGTGTGCCATGAACCTCGTCCTCGACCGTTCGTGGATCCCTCTCCTCCGCATCATCATCCTCGAGCTCTTCTTCGTCAATGGTTTGTGGGATGTCTTGTTGATGAAAAAAACCTCCTTGATTTTGTTGCAATAGTTGTTCTAGTTGCTCATCGGACATCGCATCCCCATATCTTTGGTTGTAATCCGCATCAAAACCATCTCGGGTTTGAGATGAAGACCCCGCCCCTCCCTTACCTTTGCGTGACCTTGGATGATTCCTCGCAATCTCCTTTGTTCGATTGCGGCGGAGGTTACCCATATCTACAGAAGCTCTACCACGCTCCATATTAAAAATATAACAAATATTAAATTTGAAGTACAATTAAACAATTAACTTCGAGTTAACTAGTTTACCAATTAACTAAAACTCGAACTATTTGTTTTACAATGTAACAACTTTATTTAACAAGTTTAACAATTAACTAGTTTTTATAGGAGAATAATAAATGTAACAATTAACTACTATGATAAGAGATTAATAAATGTAACAATTAACTAGTTTAACAATTAAACAATTAATTTCGAATTAACTAGTTTACCAATTAACTAATAAATGTAACAATTAACTACTATGATAGGAGAATAATAAATGTAACAATTAACTACTTTTATAGCAATGAACTAATATTAAAATGATAAGTGAAACAATTAACTAGTTTTATATTAATAAAGAATGTATGAGTGTGTAAACTAAATTAATGGGAGTGTGAGAGTGTATAAGCAATTGGATAAGTAGATAATAAGTGTATAAGTAGATATACTTAATATATATATATTTATAAGTAGATAATAAGTAGATTAACTAGTAATATATAATATTATGTTTATAGTATATATAATACTCCGTATAAGTATATTACTATAAGATTAGTAATACACTTATATATAATACTTTAATATATATAAGTATATATTAAGTATATCTAAAATGTAAATATAAGTAAATAAATTAGAGATAATTATATATGTAATATGTACTATGTAAATATAAGTAAATAAATATAAGTAACAATAATATAATAATTAGATATTAATATAAGTAGATAATAAATATAATATATGTAGTTATAAATTTGAGAAGATGAAGATGGAGAAGATTAGTAGAGAATAGATATTAGAGAGTAGGAATATTTGAAGAAGATGTGTAGTAAATTGTATAGAAAAAATGGAGTATTTATAGATTTTTTGTACCCCACACCCCCTAACCCACCCCGGGACCCCCTGGAAGGCTCCCAACGGTTATATAGCCGTTTGTGTTCAATTACAACGGCTCTAAGGCCTGTTTGGATGGTCAAAAGTTTTTTTTTTAAAAAAAATAGCCGTTGGCCCGGCCCGGGCCCGAACCGGCCGGGCCGGGCCGCCTATTTCATGAACCGTGCCCGAACCGCTCCCCTCCCCCGGGCCAGGTCAAAGCCCGAACCTCCCATTCCTTAACCGGGCCGGGCCGGGCCCGCACAGTGGCGTGCCGGGCCGGTTTGGTCCATCCCTAGTTGATACCATCTCCCATCGCATTCCAGTTTAACATCAAATCATCAAATCATCCATTTATTAGTTTAACAAAACCTTAAATAAATTATTCCATAGTTTAAATAATAGTTTTCTTTGATTTTTTCTTGAATAATTATGAAATTAAAAAATACACATTTTGATGTTGAAAAATCAAAATTTCATTATTTGTTTTCTACTTTTTTCGGTTTTAATAAAAAATGTAATGTGCTCATGTAAAATTGGGTAATTTGTGAAATCAACATGTATTAAAAATATATGTTTCGTTTTTTGGGCCTAAAAACTCCAAGAGTTAAAATTTCAGGTTTTTTAAACTTTATACCATGTAGCACTGATACGAGAACGCTGAAACGCGAAAACAGGTAAGAGGATATGGTAAAGCAAAAAAATAGGATACAAATATGGAGCTATATTTATAAATATTAAAAGTTTTGGGGTGTATTTATAATCATACTACGTATTAATCATCTTGCACTACAAATGGTGTAATACACTAGTACTCATAAAATCTAGACCCACTTTAGGACTCAAATTTTGACAATTATGCAATATGGATCCAATTCAGTCCTTATGCTCCGAAAATACTCTTGTTGATTATAACCACCACATACATCCGAGGACTGAATTGCATAATGGAGGATCAAATTGACCGCAAATGAAAGTTGATGACCAAATCAAGTAACAATATGTAATCAGGCATTAACTCTTATATAAATGAATTGCAACTTGATTTAGGCCTTGTTTGGGTAATGGCTGATCAGCCATTTTTTAACTTCTTTGACCATCTTTAATGAATTTGATTGGATAAACGGCTGAAATTAGTGTTTGGTAAATAACTGGTTGACTTAGCTTAGCCAATAACTAAAACGCTGGAGGGTTTAGTTTCGGCACTGTGTCTTTCCGGACCTTTGATCTCGCATGCGTATCTTATGTGGTCGAATTAACTCAAAAACTATGACACTCATTCCAGAATGTTGTACTCTGTATTTCTTAAGCACTTGCTCTCCATTTGTTGATTAACCATCGGCCAATTCATTAAAGGGATAATTCTCTAAACGGGACTAACTAAAAGCTATAATGCATGAATAGGAGTAGTAGTATTAAATTCCCTGAATAGGACTGATTAGTATGTCTATGCCAATTCTACCCTTAGCATATTTTAATATTTAAAAATTTACTTTTTGCTTATTAAAAAAATCATAAAAATAAAAATAAAAATATTGGCACCTTCTAGCGAAGCTGAGGCCTCTCAGCATCATCATTGATGGCGACGGGAAAAAATGCCAATTTTTTTTCCGGACTGTATTAATGGCATTTTCAAACTAAAATGTGGCATGTTTGAAGAGTAATATGCAATTTTAATGGCATTTTGAGAATAGAATTTGGCATTTTTAATAAACAAATTAAGAAGCAACCTAGCATCTCAGGTTGTTCTGTTATTTCACGAAGGCATCATCATTGTTGAAACCTCCGGAGCTATCACCGTGTGGCTATCGACTGGCAGTCTGGCACTCATTCTGCTAGCAACACATCTCTGCCGGAAAAGGCTAAATCTGACGCCAGGGCCAAAATCATGGCCGCTCGTCGGAAACAAAAGAGGGAGAACCAGAGAAGAGGATGGCCGACCACCGCAACTTCACATCGATCGAAGACCTACACTACTCTCCTGCTATCTGAATCGCGGATGTAGTGTCTGTCTGAGTTTTCTATCTTCTGCTTGAAACGGAGATAACATGATAAAAATGGCAGATGAATAAAATATACTCCTATTTAGGATTAAAAAGAACCGTAATCCTATTTTAGTAAACGGAGTAAATTTTACTCCTATTGGTAACCATTTTCCCTTCATTAAAACATGAGTGGGAATTCATCAATTACGCATATTTATTAAATAAATAATTTTTTTGTCCCGGTAGGTAAAACACCTTATGGTGGGACAAATGCCGGGGAATATTTGCAGATGTATAAATAAATGGATATTCAATAAGAATATGCTCCATTTAAAGACTGAGTATAATGTAGAACATTTAAACATGTTTGATGGACACAAACTTGAAAAAAGATTTAAGATAATTGCAAAAAAAAAACTTGAAAAAAAGATGCATTTCCTTTTTCACATTGTCAATTGACTGAACCTATGGTGTGTGTGGTGTATTTAGAAACTCAAAAAGAGCATTGAAGTTTATGTTAGTGCAACACCTCAAATAGCAGAAGATGGGGGAGTTGTTTTAGGGTCTAGAAGAAGCAGCGTATTCCAAGTTGAAACAAAAACTGGAAGCCTAATTTCCTCATATACAACAATGCTGCCTGATTACCCAGCAAATGAGAAGCAGGGGCTGGCCGGCAGATCTGTGAATCTGAAATCAGCACTGTATATTACAAGGACTGATTATTCTTTGACGTCATTTGCCCTAAACTCGACGAATAAAGTTGTGTGGAATGTGTCAGTTGCTGAAATTGGGGCAGCTTTTCTTTGCCAAGGTTTTGATGATACGCATTTCGACATGCCATTGCCATGCAACTCATGGGCTCCAGTTCGTCGCTTTCGTGGTCACAATTTACTACAATGTCTCTCCACTCCCAATTGCTTGCTTAACCCTCACATCATACCACCGCCATCTAATCTCAATCTTTTATATTCAAACAATCATCGTGAAGATGGACCAAGGATCAAAGGCATTAGCAAACTTATTATTTATAATGAAAGATTCAGCGTGTTCGTTTTAATTGTTTTTGCTGCTATGCTTGTGGGAACCATTTTCCAGCATCATATACCTCCCCAAAAGAAGAAATCAAACAAGTCTGCAAAGGACGCATCAGACATTGAGACTGGTGACAAAATGTTGTTGAACCTCCTCAACCATCCAACTTCACACAATGAAGATGGCCGGACAATTGGTAAATTATTTGTCTTCGATAAGGAGATTGCTAAAGGGAGCAATGGGACGATTGTTCTCGAGGGCATCTATCAAGGCCGTCCGGTTGCTGTGAAGCGTCTAGTCAGGGCCCACCATGATATTGCTTTTAAAGAAATGCAGAATCTCATTGCATCTGATCAACATCCAAATATTGTTAGATGGTACGGAGTGGAGCAAGACCAAGATTTTGTTTATATGGCATTGGAGCGCTGCATTTGCAGTTTGGATGACCTTATCCAGATCTGCTCGGTCTCTTCAGAAAATGATGATGATACTAAAAGGATTATGGATCCTGCATCTATGCGGTATAGGATTCGCTTCGATTCTTTGAAACTTGATATGCAGGGTATAAAGTTGTGCAAGGAAAACGGCTATCCTTCGACGACATTACTCAAGCTGATGAGGTCAGTATGCATGCTTGAGGCTGAAATTATACTTTTTGGGCCACCAATATCAAATTATGCAGCAAACCACTGTTTTTTGTGCTATCAAGTGATAGATAATTAGATAGTAGGTCCACTCACTTTTCATTTTCTTTTCTCATTTTCCGTAAGACTATATTTGGTTCCCAAAAGTTGTAGGGAAGATAGGTTGCATGAGTTTGATTTTACCGTTGGAAATATGCAGCCAACACAGATTTGATTTAAACTTTTTTTTTACATAAATCTAAATTTCTCAGTCTTTATGTAATAACAATAAGTATAATGGGTTTGAACAACTATGCACAATTGATTTATGGATTCACATCAATGTTTTCTTTCCCAACCTCCCTCCCTCCAAATCTCCCTTCTATTCTCCTCTCAATTCTCTTTCCCTACAATTTCAGGGCTCCAAATGAACCTTGAGTGGACCTCAAACTGCACCTTCTTTCTCAGCGATGAAAACCTAATAGTCTGATTTCAATTTGGTGTGATACTAATCATTCCTAGCCATGTGCACTGCAAAGTTGTGATTTCCGTGCAAACTTAGAGAAGCATTAAGATTTTGAGGGTATCCACTTTTTTTTGGAATTTGCCTGATTATGTATTTTATTCCCACTTTGACACAGGGATGTGGTCTGTGGGCTGATCCATCTACACGAGTTAGGAATTATTCATCGAGATCTAAAGCCCCAAAACGTCTTGATAACTAAGGAAAGAGTATTGTGTGCTAAAGTATCAGATATGGGTATAAGCAAGCGCCTTATTGAGGATATGTCTTCGTTAGGTCATCATGCAACAGGTAATTTACTACTTACCTGGCTTTTTCACTAGCTAAGCATGTGATCTACTTTGAATTGGTTCTCACGTTTCACATAACTTCTCTCTCAATGTAGTTCTGTTTGATTAAATAAAGCTAAAATTTTCATGTAGTTTATCAAAAAGTTGCCAAAAGAGAGTCACATACAAGTTATTTATGATAAATTTAGTTAAATAAAGAAATATAGTTAAAAGTATAAGTATGATTCATGCAATATGACAGCTGTAGCTCAACAAAATTTAATGGTTGTATGTTGCTCAAGCATGGGTTTATGGGACGGAAGTAGCAAGCCCACGACAACAACAAGCCTTAATTCCAAAAGAATTTGGGGTCGGCTAACATGAATCGATCTATGATATCGATGTCAAACAGAGAAGACATACAAAAAGGGAAGAATAAAAAAAAGTAAGATAAAACGGATAAAATAAAGATAAATAAATATAAGATAACTATCACATAAGAATATAAGAAAGATCAAAGATAAAAAGATAAGAGCACAAAAAAGCTGTCAAATAAAAATAACATAAGAATATAAAAAGATAAAGAAGACAAACAACAAAAGAAAAGAGAGAGGAAAGCTAGAAAATACATCAATCATCCACACGGATGTGCGCCCTCCACTTTGCTCTCTCCAAAGTCATACTCTCATCCAACTCAAGAAGACGCAGATCAGTTCTGATTCCTCTAATCCAAGTCTGTTTGGGTCTTCCCCTCTCTCTCTTTCCCGCCTCTTCTCCCCACCCCTCAAGTCATCTAACAGGTGCACCACTCGGTCTTTTATGCACATGCCCAAACCATCGCAAACGAGACTCCTGCATCTTATCTTCTATAGATGCTACTCCAATCTTTTGTCCGGTTATCTCATTTCTCAAGCGGTCTTCTCCAGTATGTCCACACATCCAACGCAACATACGCATCTCTGCCACACTCATGTTTTGGATGTGGCATTCCTTCACCACCCAACACTCTACGCCATACATTAATGCAGACCTAGTTGTTGTTCGATAAAATTTACCTTTCAGTCTAGTCGGCATACCTCGATTGCATAGAAATTCTGATGCACTCTTCTATTTCATCCACCCAGCTCTGATTCTATGCCATACATCTCGATCTAATTCACCATCCTTTTGAATTATGGAGCCCAAATAACGAAACATATCACACACCGATATCTCCTTACCATCGAGAGTTATCCCACTGTTGCTACTACTTATACCTCCACCAAACTTTCACTCCATATACTCAGTCTTGTTTCGGCTCAGTCTGAAACTCTTGATCTCCAATGTTTGTTGCCATACTTCCAACTTTGCTTTAACACCGGATTACGTCTCATCAATCATTACAATATCGTCTGCAAACATCATGCACCACGGTACATCTTCTTGAATTGACTTCGTAAGTTCATCCATGACTATAACAAATAATCATGGAAAAGCCCACCGTCCTTAAAAAAGGATCCTTGCAAAAGCTTTTTGAGATGAAAAAGGTCTGATTTTATGGGTTAACTTTGATTTGTAAGTAAAATCCATGTAAAGCAAAGTGGCAAGTTGGTTTTGTCATTCACTTGAAATAACATGGAAATGAGTTGGGGTATAAGTGACCATTCATAATTTCAAAAGCTTGTATCTTGATTGAGTTGGCTAAAATAAAAGATTGGATCTTACTCAAATGAGTTTTTTTTGGGCATGGAGAGGGTATTTGCTAACTGAACTATGGTTTAATCCTTGTGTGTGCATTTTTTGCAGGTTACGGAAGTTCAGGATGGCAAGCTCCAGAACTGCTTCTTCAAGGGCGTCAAACACGTGCATTAGATTTATTTAGTTTGGGCTGTGTTCTATTTCATTGTATAACTGGTGGTTGTCATCCCTTTGGCAACCCCCTGGAACGTGACATCAATATTACCAAGAACAGAATTGACCTATTTTTGGTTAAGCATATGCCAGAAGCGGTGGAACTCCTCTCTGGCTTATTAGATCCCAATGCTGAGATGAGGTAAATGTTGAAAAATGAAGTCTAGCTGCACTGCTGCAGTAGTGGTGTTCCTTTAGGGTGTATTTGGATGGGGTTTTTGGAGGGGCAGGCTTTGAATGGCTTAGTGTATATCTTGATAAATAGAATGTTTCTAAAAACCAATAAAAAGTGATTGGAATGGGACACAGACTCATATATATATATATATATATATATGGTTCATGTGATTGCGACATTGCGTGCATGTATAAGTTTCATGTCAACAGAATTTCTTAAAAACATTGCAGGCCAAACGCGGGAGAGGTTCTTGCTCATCCTTTCTTTTGGACATCCGAGACGCGATTGGCATTCCTTCGTGACACTAGCGATAGGGTAGAAGTAGAAGACAGGGATAGTGGTTCGGTTTTATTAAAAGCACTGGAACTGGAAGGGACATCTGTGTGTGGATGGGATTCAAAGCTGGACCCCGCACTCCTCCATGACATAGCCCGTTACAGGCGTTATCAGTTCCACAGTGTCCGTGACTTGCTCAGGCTCATACGTAACAAGTCCAATCATTACCGACAGCTTCCAACTGAAGTTCAGGTGGTTTTCTCACAACAAAATATTAATATAAGGTCCATTTGGGACTAGGGAAAGAAAATAGGAATATATAATGTGAAGGAGTATGTCTTAAAAACATTAAACATATTTGATTTTCTTTGCATTACCCGACGTAAAACCAGATATCAAGAAAAAACTTTGATTAGGATCAGAATATGTGTATTTGATCAGAATATGTGTATTCTGTTTATCTTTGCACCTCCAACTTAACTTGATAGCATTACAGGAACTTTTAGGGCCATTGCCGGAAGGATTTGATGCCTATTTCACAAGCCGATTTCCACGACTGCTTATTCAGGTTTACAAAGTTGTGTCCTCACACTGTAGGAAAGAAGAGGTCTTCCATAAATACTTCTCAAACTCTACAATTTAATACTCCGTATTTTATCTTTCGACTTGTATAACTACACTTAGATACATACTTGTTTGATACCTCTAGTACTGTTTCCTGTACATACACATCCCCCGTGAAATGTTTATCCTGATTAAACACCATTGATTTTCACTTACTCGGCTGAAATGGATTTTAGAACCTTCCTTTAATATTCATATTTCAACCAAGCTCTTACCTAACTATGTTTGGACCATAGTCACATGGATCGCGGTACGCTTCGGTACGCGGTACGAAAACAGAAACGCGGATCACCACAATTAAAAATCTGATACATAGGGTGGTAGGCTTCTTCGGTACGCGATTTCGGTACGCGGTACGCTGTACCCCTTTGTTTATGGTACGGTGAACCATAAACATATAAATTTTAATAAGTATAAATATAATTAATAATATATTAATAACTTCAATAACATTAAACAAACTTAAGAAAGTTTGCAACAAAGTTTCAGGATTCCATCTGAAACTTAGTTTCAGGATTCCAGCTGGAGTACTGGACGAAGACTGGGAGGAAAAAACAGTACTTCTTAAACGCTGAAGTGAGGAAAATGGGATGATAGAAATAGGAAAAGGTGCTGGTCATTTAAATAGAAAAAATCAGGGGCGTGAAAGTCGTTTGCAGTGTACGACTCTGGAAATACAACCGAACAAGTGCGTCGTTTCATCCTCCAAGGTCGCCGATCATGGCTAGGAGTTCGAGAAAAAAAATCAAAAATCAAGACTATTGGACTGTCGGTTCGTTGGATGCTGGAGGGAACGGCGAACGACAACTTGGAATCGGCGTACCCGCTGGAACAAACACACGAACTGCTACCAGGATCCACCGTACCCGAACCGCGAACATCAAACGAGTCGAACGCGATTGTACCGCGATCCGGTATGCGCGATCCGGATAGGAAATCGCGGGTAGTTCTGCGATCCCTGTACCTATGGTTTGGACCATGCCGATATGTTTTGTGAAGTTGTACCCTCTTAACTCTATATATTTATCAAAACATAAAGGCAAAACTTAAAGAAGCAATATAGCCCAATCTCTTTTTAGATTGTAGACCTCCACTGTACATAACACAATTCTATATTTCTATACAAGAACATATGTGTGTGAGTGAGGGAAAGACTAAGCATTGTTGTGAGAGAATATTTATTAATGGTCAACTTATGTTCTTAGATCCATTTATATAAGCATCCAATATGTGTTTGTGTCTCTCTATATATAATCAGGATCATTTTTTTATAACGCGAAAGATAAACCACCCATCGGTGGGATAAATGTTGAGGAACATTTACCGAGTTTATTAAAATAAAAATAGTACAAAACGAGAAGGGAACTAGACCAAAACCTCTCAAGAGAAGGCATACCTCCTCGAAATACATGAACATAAAAGCAAACGAAAGGAAAGAAAACTAGACCTGACCCAATTAAAGCACCAGACAACTATATTAACGAAAAGCGGGAAGAGCTGAAGCATCTAAGTGAACCAACGTTTTGTCAAAGAGAAAAAGAGATTAGCGAATACATGGAATATCGAGGGAGTCCAATTCAATGAGATTTAATGGAATTGGAAAGACTGCTTCTTATAAAAGTAATTGAGCTGACTAAGATGTATACCATCGTGGGCCAAAGCATGAGCTACTAAATTAATCTCCCTATAGATATGCCTTATTACACTCACCCAACTCTTCCGAGTCATATCAATTGTGCACATCAGATGAAAAGGCGGATGTTGAGCACCTTTCAAAGCTTTGATAACCATCTCAGAATCAGATTCAAGCTAGAAATCCTGAAAGCCTCGATCTTTACAACATTTTAGAGCAATGTATCCACTTGAAGCTCGGCTTGCACAACCGTGCTTGCTTTAATCGGAAAGGATATAGCCATGGCAAGCTCCATCTATCGTCTCTAAGCACTCTTCTTAGGATCCAATCAGAAGAGTGTTTATTGTAAAAAGTGAGAATGCATCTGGTGCATTGAATTTGAGATCTAATGGTTGTTACAGTTCAAAAATTGTTAAAAAGTGATGAGCAACATGGTGTTTCGTAATTAACTCAAGCTTTTATGCTATCGGGTAAGCGTAAAATTGCAACAAAAATGACTAAATCGAATCCTTCTCCTTTCTTATATTAAGATGTCTTCATATCCAATCCTATATATAATTAGATATTATATATATATATATATATATGTTTTGGTTCAAACAAGAACATGATCTTAGGAGAGAAATGAGAATGAATCTGGACCGTTAGATTTGCTTTAAGTGAAATTCAATGTGCATTGGATGGAATTGTAATGTGCATTAGGTGAAATTGAAATGTGCAGCACAAATGGTACGATACTGTGACATTATGTGAAGTTGAATTGTGCATTAGGTGAAATTGAAATGTCTACTAGGTGAAACTGAAATGTGCGGAATAAAAGGTATTATTTGATGTTATTTTTGTACCTTTTATTCCGCACATTTCAATTTCACCTAATGCACACTTGAGTTTAAATTTTTATTTCGCACATTTCAATATCATCTGATGCATATTTCAGTTTCACCAAATGCACAATGCAGTTCCACATAATACAATCCAACGGTCCAAATTCGTTCTCATTTCTCTTATGGGAATCCGTTCTTACCGGAATAAATAAGAATCTTAGGAGAGAAATGAGAATGATGCTAGACAGGTGGATATGTGAATTGTCAATGTAATGATAAAATACTCAGTAGAATGGATGTGTGAGCCATTCGTACGCAACGGTCGCCATTCTTGGAATGACTAAGACCGGTCTTCATGTCCGACTTGGTCGGGGCTTTGTGCCTGACTTGGTCAGGGCTTTAAATACTAGTGATGGGTCTCATGTCACAGTCTACTAGGCATTTGATCATAATTGTATGATGATTTGAAATTTGCCTGATAAAAAGAAATGATTTAAATAAATATACTCCGTAAATAATATGAAAATTAAAGAGTACTTATCTTTTGATGGGCTGAAATATTGGGCTGCTTTGCTGAAATTGTGGCCCAATTTAATGGATAAGAGTCAAATTTGAGCTTGGAGTCGTCCTCGCCCAAGAATTAAGCCCTAGCAATAGCGTTTCTTGTTTACCAAGTAGAGCTAGCTCGCCCAACACCCTACCCAAGCTTCTGCTGACAGAGCTTCAGGAGAGGAGGGTGTTTTGGCCATCCCCACTGCACGACACGAGGGTTATGTGGTCGGAGTTGCTGTTCCTAAGGCCGAGAATAGTCAGCGTCACTGATGGAGAGGAAGGGAGGTCCCGGTCGGACAGGGGGGAGAGGACCCCTCAATGTCCGTTGCTGCCCTGCAGTGCTCCGGGGTTCGCCGGAGCTGCCCTTGCTTGGGTCGCTTCCAGCAGGGCTACAGTTGCGTGACACAACCTTGTGCAGCTTGAAGGACCCTTTACCCAAGTACCCAACCACTGGAACGAGCCAGGACAGCTCTCTGGCACATAGTTGCGAGCTGGGACGACAGAGAGGAGTGGCGAGTGACGATGTCACGACAAAGGTGGAGACCAGAGTGGGCTGCGGACGCCGTTGCTGTTCGCCGAAGTCCGATCGAGCTCAGCCTGTGAGGTTAGCATTTCCAAATCTAGAAGTTGCAGATCCCAAGTCTGAAACTACAGCAGGTGGCTCGCGGTGGCTGGTGAGATCCGTGGCATCGGTGGCCTTCCGGTGGCGGAGGTGCTAGACCAGAAAGTGTTGTGGTGACCCCCCTGAGACACGGCGGCGCAGTGACGATTGCTCTGGCCAGGTCTGGGACAGGTCAGAAAAGTGAAAGGTTGGGTCGTCGCTGGTCTGGAAGTATCATCGCTCCTCGTCACTGCTCTCGCTGGAGAGTGGAAGAGGATCCGTCGGAACAGCTGCTGCTCGGGTCGATTTTGGCGAGGCCAGATCTCTGGAATGAGCCCTCCATTTGACCACCGAAACGATCCAAGCCGGCTCCTCAAGCAGTCTAGTACGGGGTGCGAACTGGATGCTGACGTCTTAGCTATGGATGACGGAGGTCACAACTTCGGCTTGGCTGGCGACGATGGCTACAGATGCGGCGACGGGTGAGCTCTCGGGCGGTGACGAGGTCTGACAATGAGATCTGGAGCCTTGCGCAGGGCAGTGGGTAGTTCTTGCTGTTCCGATTCCCCAGAACGCATATACCATTTTTTCAGGATTCTTTTTGGATTTTTCAGAATAGTTTTTGCTGGAATTTTTTGTGATTGGGATGATTTTTGTGGTTGTTTTTGGGAGGTTTTCTCACTTGATGATGTTCAAACCTCTCAACGAGAGAACCATTATTGGATAATTAATACTCATATTGTATGAAAAAGAGATTTGAACAAAGAATGTGGAGAAAGAGATAAGTGTGTATAGAGTATGAACTATGAGTTATATGAGTTATGGTTTACAAGCCTTACATAAGGGGTATATATAGGGAAATCTGGATCTGAGCCTTTAATATGGGCCGGACAGACCCGGTTACATAAAAGGACTGATAACATAAATGATTAATCTATTACATACAATGAATGTGTAAAATGTACAATAATATAAATGGCATCTGCTTGGTGTACATGAACCGTTGTCCAAGCCCAATAATAAGCAGACCGGGGGGGTCGGAGTCCATATACTCCATCATATATATGTTGGATAATTGATACCCATATTGTATAAATAGAAGAGATTGAACAAGAGTGGAGAAGAAATGATGAAAGTGTATAAAATGAATTAATATTGGTTCTATGTGTTATGTTTACAAGCCTTACATAAGGGAGTATAGATAGGGAGAATCCAGGTCTGGGCCTATAATATGGGTCTGACAGACCCAGTTACATAAATGGGCTAATAGTATAAAAAGCTAATGTAGAATATCTGAATAATAATAATGTACAATAATAAGAATCTGATAAACGTGTGTGGGCCGCTGTCCAGGCCCAGTAGTCGGCATACCGGGGCTCGGAGTCCATATAATCCATCAGGAGTCCCCCACTCTCTGAGTTGAGAGTACTCGAGACGAAAGGGAGTAGTCCAAACTGTATCTGCAACGCTCTTCTGTCTTTGATTTCTTCCTTTCCGACCGGGGACCACCACCCTTGTCCATGATGGGGAGGTGCCTCGTTAAAAACCTTTACTAGGAAAAAACCCAGTGGGAAAAAATCCTAATAAAGGGAAAAAGAGTACACCTAGCGCCCCCAACATGAAACAAGGAAGGTAAGCTCCCTCCGACATAATCAATTTTGTCTAGCCCAACTCCTCTTCATCTGACTCAGCTTTCGTTCCTGCTCATGTGTGATATTTTCTGCTCATCTAGAAACTCTGACCTCTCAGTCCCCCAATCCCCCACTCTTTGAGGCGAGTGAAGTCGAGGTGAAAATGAGTAAAGCCATCTTCGTACCTACACATTTAGCATGCATATAAATTTTTTCTTGGGGTTTATGTTTCCGATCGAGAGTTCATCACTTGAAAAAGTGGAAATGTGAATTGCTAACGTAATGATAAAATACATAGTAGAGTGGACATGCGAGCCATTCGTACAGGATTAGAGAGAAGGCATTAAGGTTTAAGTTGTGATATTCGGGGAGAGGGAAGACTAAAAATAGAGTAGGCATGATTGTGACGCGTGACTGTTGAAGAGGTGGTGGAAGTCTTTAGGAAGAACGACTGCATTATAAGCATTATTAAATTGGTGATAGGGGATGAAATCATGTCCGTGGTAAGTGCCTATGCACCGCAAGTGAGATTGGATGCACCTATCAGGCTATCACTCAACAATTCTGAAAAGATATTGGGGAAGTGGTGCGATGAGCGCTAAGGGAGAGAAAGTGGTCATAGGAGGCAACCCCAACGGGCACGTGAGCTCGATTCGTGATGGTTTTGAGAGTACTTATGGTGGAAATGGTTTTGCCACTAGAAATGAAGCGGTAAAGAACATTATGGATTTTGCCTCGACATAGGAGTTGGCTATAATGAATATGTGGTTCAAGAAAAGAGACTTTCATCTTGTGACCTATAACAATGGAGCTAATAATACCCAAATTGACTTCTTCCTTTTTTGGCAAAAAATTGACAACTTCTTAGTACACACTACTTGGAGAACTAGTTACATTGATCGTAAGGTTACCCAAGTGAGAATGTTGTCACTCAATATAAGATATTTATGCTTGAATTTCACGGTAATAAGCATAGAAAGCGGGCTAAGCAACAAGTTGAGCTAAAGATAAAGTGGTGGAGGCTCGATGAGGATAATGTTATGTAAAATCAACATTTTTTTGTCAACCAATGTTAACGTTAAAACCTCCTTATTGATAATTAATTCAATTTTAATAATTAAAATTTACATATTCAGAAACTACATTAAAATTCTCTATAAAATTACAAAATTAAAATTAAATTTAAAATTTAATTAAGAATTGATATAATAATTACGTCAATTTTGGGATGGGGGAGTAGTAAACATGAAGGCTAGAGTTTGTTTATTAACATTGTTATGTTGTGATATGAGTATGAAAAATGGTCCTAAATAGGACTAAAAGTAAACATAAATGCACAAATTAAATTCAATGTTTATAATTCTCTCAAGAGGACTAAACATAACCTTTTATAAACTAATATAAATAATTGTTCCCTAATTCCCCAACATAATCAGGGCAGTCCGTTGGTGGCACGGCGGCAGTCAAGCTGCAAATTGGCGGCGGAGTCCAGCGGTGGCAGCGACATTCTAGCCGCCGCCGGCACCAATTCCGGCAGCCTAGTTGCAGGCCCAACCCCTACAGGGGTATTTGTCTAAGCACAAAAGGAGGAATTCTAAACAATAACTCCTATTTTTACATTTGGACTCAGGGTCGGCCCTAGGGGGAGGGCAGCAGGGGCGACCGCCCTAGGCCCCGAAAATCTAGAAGAAGAAAATAAGGCGCAAAATTTTTTGTTTATATATAATGTTAGTAGGCTTCTTTTTTATTTTTAAATTCAATTGATTAGGTCTAATGTTTAATTCATGTTGATAATTTGAAAATGTTAAAATACAAGTAAAAAGTCTTGATCATAGCCGTTCAGGCAAATTTAAAAAAGAATATATATTTAATTTTGATTTTTAAGTAGAGCTATTTGCAGGTCAACACATTTGTTGATGTCTTGCTGAATCAATAAAGACACGTCTCTTCACATATTTTTAGCCTTTTAGGTTTTTTTAGTTACAAAATTATCAATTTATACTATTCTTTGGGCAACCTGTGCCTCCCAATTCCCAAACTTCATCCCAATTATCTGCGGTCGACTATGTCTCAATAGAGCTCGATGGTAGCAATGTTAAGCATTATATTGAACATGAAATCTTGTAAAAGATTGATTATGAAGCAACTATTGATGATTTCGCTTCACAATGTTATGTGACAAATGTTTTTAAGTAATGTTTTTTGTGATACTTTGTTATTACTTTTGACCAAATACGTAATTTAAATACTACTCCATAATAAAGTGAATTGCATCTTTATTTTATAAGCTTTATTGGATAGTTTTATTATAACTCTTATTTAAAAAAAAATATAATTTACAAAAATAAGGTCAAGATGGTATATGGCATGTTTGGACCATGTTTCTTCTAAGTGATTGGGGAAGTGAAAAAGATGAGAATTGTGGAATAATGATGATGATGATGATTATTACCTTGAAGAATGGGAAGAAAGGCGGCAGTGGGGGTGGTGTCAAGGAGGGTGAGGTTGAGCTTGGTTGCAGGAAGAAGAGTTGGGTTGGAATTGATGTCCTCCACGGCGGCCTCCACAGCCAATTTGGTAACTTTCCCAACTGGGGAATCCAGAATGAGCATACACCCAACATTCACCACCCCAGCAGTAGCAGCAGCAGCATCCCAACACCCGCTACTGTAAAACATCATCATCACTACTGCCCAAAACACCCGCCGCACCTTCATGCCGCTCGCAATCCAATCCCAATCTTATTTTATTTCATTAACCCTACCTCCCTGCCTGCCTGCACACATACATACATACATGCCGCATAACCACTCATTCTATCAATTACATACCGAATTCAAAGCGTAGCTTGTTCATAAATGTATGTATATATATACATATACTCCGTATAATAATTTCACCCAAATACATATATAATCCTTACCAATAATTAAATCAAGTACAGTGGTGGCCCTTGATCTTTGCTTTCACAAATACATGATCGACTACCTCAGCCTGCCCAGGTTGGTCAGGGCAGAGAACTTGATTAATTTAGACCAATCCTATTTGCTTATTGCTTTTAACTCTACTGTAGGTCCGTGAGTCGGTATCAATTTGAGAGATCAAGGTATAATATGGAAGTGGTCGGTGGAATCTACACAATACCGTCAAGTTATAGAGTTTTCTTTTGGTGATTCAGTTATTTTGAATTCAAATATTGAATTCGGCTACTGTTCCATGTAATATACAGGATAATTGCGCGATTGATTCAACAGCAGGAACTAATTTTGATGGTGATCAACTTGTTGGTGTTGAATTGATGGGTGAGTGTTAATGTTTTCTATTCATTCTGCGTTTTATACTTTTGTTTTGTGTTTTATAATTTTTGGCATTGTTTGAGAATTTGTATTCAGGAGAAGAAGATACTGCTGCAAGCGCTTCTAAATTGTTATATCTGCTCAGTAGACGTACATTTTTCATTGTGAAGCTTCGTGTAACTTTTGATTATGTGTTGTGTAACTACAATCAAATCTATTCTTATATAAAAGCAAAAAGAAGTTTGAGGAATAGTGTTCCCTCCAAGAAATCTATATTTATATAAAAGCTAAAGAAGTTTGAGGAATAGTGTTCCCTCCAAAAAATGTCAACATCAAGTTTTATTTTAATTTTTATTTGATACTTTATTTTGATTAAAATATAATTTTCTATTGGTTGAAATGGGTGGTGGGAATAGTCAAATACTTAAACCTTATCTATTCTAATATAAAAGCAAAAGAAGTTTGAGGAATAGTGTTCCCTCCAAAAAATGTGAACATCAAGTTTTATTTTAATTTTTATTGGATACTTTATTTTGATTTAAATACTAATTTTCTATTGGTTGAAATGGGCGGTGGGAATAGTCAAATACTTAAACCTTATCTATTCTAATATAAAAGCAAAAGAATTTTGAGCAATAGTGTTCCCTCCAAGAAATATCAACATCAAGTTTTATTTTCATTTTTATTGGATACTTTATTTTGATTAAAATACTAATTTTCTATTGGTTGAAATGGGTGGTGGTAATAGTCAAATACTTAAACCTTATTGGTTGAAATGGGTGGTGAGAATTGCCAAATACTTAAACCTTATCTATTCTAATACAAAAGCAAAAGAATGTTGAGGAATAGTGTTCCCCCCAAGAAATGTCAGCATCAAGTTTTATTTTAATTTTTATTGGATACTTTATTTTGATTAAAATACTAATTTTTTATTGGTTGAAATGGGTGGTGGGAATAGTCAAATACTTGAAGCTTATTGGTTGAAATAGGTGGTGGGAATAGTCAAATACTTAAAACTTATTGATTGAAATGGGTGGTGGGAATAGTCAAATACTTAAACCTTATCTATTCTAATATAGAAGTAAAAGATGTTTGAGGAATAGTGTTCCCTCCAATAAATGTCAACATCAAGTTTTATTTTAATTTTTATTGGATACTTTATTTTGATTAAAATACTAATTTTCTATTGGTTGAAATGGGTGGTGAGAATAGTCAAATACTTAAACCTTATTGGTTGAAATGGGTGGTGAAAATAGTCAAATACTTAAACCTTATTGGTTGAAATGGGTGGTGGGCATAATGAAGTTTATTGATTGTTTCGAAATTCCTAAAAGATTGCAATGGAATTTCAAATATAAAAGTAATGTGGATATAAGAAGGTTTTCACATTCATTTATTCTCATATCAATAAATATATATTATTGTTCAAGTTGGTAGTATTATTTTGTAACAATTGATTTCACCAAAAATTGGTTGAAAAAAACATATCGTAATTTTATAATTGTAGGTTGGACAAAAAGAAATAATTCAAAAGATATTGATGGAAGGGATATTTTTTAAATAAAATCTATATTTTATTCGCTCTTTTCTAATTATTCGTATATTCTACTTTTTAAGAATTTTGCATTGTAATTCTATATGATGTAGGTTTTCATGTATTTTATTTATTCGAAAACGGATTTAGTATTTATCAATTTTGACATTATTTTTAGCATTTTTATACTTTTATTTATATATTTTGAAAATGCATATGTGCTTTTATAAAAAAAATCAATTATGTGAAGTTATTTAGAAAACGAACCATCATAGTGGCTCAAAATGCCTTGATTGAATGTGTTTTAAAAGTAAATGTACTTAATGACACCATTACTTTTTTTCGTATATGATCAACACACATGTACGAAATAATATAAGGATCTCTTTAAACACTTCCCACAAATTTATATTCAAGTATAGTTTAAAAATAAAATAACACACTTTTACATTATTGCACACCCCCTATTTTGCATGTTTACCTGGGCAATCATTTAGAAAATGAAAAAAATATTTGCTAAATCATTTGTGCATTGTGAGGGTGAATTTACTAGAAGGAAGAATTTTAATTTTAACACGAGTTAGTGCGGGACATAAGGTGTTAAGTTCGAAGCATTTCTTAACACCTTAAGACGTTAGCCACTGCAATTCCGGATACTAGAATACCTAAACATGACTTATTGTGTCATGAATGTAAATAAAATCAAAAATAGTTGGTGTCCCGTGTTACATGGTTTGTTGTTGAAAACACTTATTAGTAGTTATTGTCAATTTTACATGGTTGTGTCAGGAGCAATCAATCCGTCGAGCGTTAAACAATCACATTGCATACAATGACCGTGGAACAAAAATTGAAACAGAGAGTATTGTGGGTCTATAAAATGTGTGAACTACTCAGTAATCATTGATAGATCATACTGAATATGTTTCATTTTTACGTCAAACTTTATAATTGTACACACAACAATTGTAAATGATTCAAGTAAAATTAGAAGTTTTTTAACTTTAAATTTGATTAAAATTAATTGTATTGTTAAAATTTTCAAACCGTGCATCGCACGAGTGCTCTACAAGGATCGAATAGACTCAGTTAAGGCCCGATTGACCCAGACGCCCATACAATCGGGCCGAACCGTGCATCGCACGGGTTCGGTCTATGATCAAATAGAGCCGGTTAAGGCCCGATTGAAGAATTATCATAGTTGAGTATTGTTTAAATAATGCCATAACACACTTTCACATATTTGCACACCCTCTGATTTGCTAATTTATCCGGGCAATTCGTGTAAAAAATGCAATTCATATAAATGCATAGTCACCATATTACTTGAGATGTTTATACTTAGACTTATTTCAGTCTCAAACCAAACCAAACCTAAACAAACCAGACCAGACCATACTTGGATATTAGAAACAGTAGAAGCACCTATTTGAACATTTTCCCACAAATTTAGATTCAAGTATAATTCAAGAATGACATAACACACTTTCACATATTTTACTCCCTTATTTTACCTATTTAGAGAGACAATTCGTCTAAAAATTCGTGTAAATTTAAAAATTCTAATTGGTGATGAAGATGAAGGAACCATTGACAAAATGACAAAACTCAGAATGTTGTATTCAAAGAAGTGTTCAACAATGTTTAGGTTTATTTAAATGCATATTTACAATGTGATGGTTTTAACGTATTTGTTGGATGTTTTTGATCTTTTAATTATCACTACTAGGCTCCACATGCAACTCATGCAAATTATTGTTGTCATGAAAATCAGATTCAGCACCCATATCATGCAAATCATGCTCAGTATCATGCAAATGCTCCACCTCACTTGAGGTGGTGGGACTATCATGCTCAGAGGAATCAGAATCATGCATAACAATGTCATCAGTAATAACAGGATCAACAGATAAAGGACCAACAGCAATAGGGACAGACTCCACCTCACTAGGAGTACTATCAGACCTAGACTCAGGATTAGAAACAGACTTGGTCAAGCAAGGAAAATCGGTTTCATTAAACACCACATTTCTGCTAAGGACCACCTTAAAGCCTACCTGGTTCCTATCCCATAACCTGTAACCCTTTACCCCCTCTGGATAACCTAGGAAGACACATTTCTTAGACCTAGGATCTAACTTGTCACCCTGTTGATGTGCATACGCTGCACAACCAAACACCCGAAGGTTAGACAGATCAAGAGGCTTACCGGTAAAGACGGCTTCAGGACACTTACCACCAAGAGGGACAGACGGGGACCTATTAACCAAATAGGCAGCAGTAGTAACTGCTTCACCCCAGAATTTCTTAGACAAACCAGAGGTAGCTAACATGCTTCTAACCTTATCCAACAGAGACCTATTCATTCTCTCTGCTATCCCATTATGTTGGGGAGTATAAGGCACAGTTTTGTGCCTTTTTATCCCAGAATCCACACACAGCTTATCCATCTCCTTATTACAGAACTCTAACCCGTTATCGGTCCTAAGGGTTTTAACATTCCTGCCAGTTTGGTTTTCAACTAGGGTTTTCCACTCCCTAAATCTCACAAACACATCAGACTTGTGTTCTAAAAGGCAAACCCACACCTTCGTAGAGAAATCATCAATAATAGAAAGGAAATATTTCCTACCATCGTGGGTAGGAACACTGGCAGGACCCCAGACATCGACATGAACATATTCAAGCAAAGACGAACACTTAGACAGATTAGGGTAAGAGGAAGGAGGGAAACTGACTCTATGCTGCTTGCCTAACTCACATGATTCACAGAAAGGCACAGAAGTCACATAGTCCTTACCAAAATAACCAGCCCTACGCATGACATCTAAACCCTTATTGCTCATATGTCCTAGCCTATTATGCCACAAAGAGGTCTTATCAGAACATACAACATTCACAGACTCAGCAAAAGGTTTAGCATAACACACATAAAGGTTATTCACCTTCTCAGCTTTAAACAACACAAGAGAATTTTTCAAGATTTTCATGCAACCATTCCCCCACTTTCCCTGTAAACCACTACTCTCCAAAGCAGCAACAGATAACAAGTTATGACACAAATCAGGGACATGCCTCACATTCTTAATGGTAAACACAGAGCCACAAGAAAACTTCAGACATATATCACCAACACCAAGCACATTGCATCTCTTATTATCAGCTA